TTAAAATTGAAAAACTGAGTATGCAGATTTGTTATTCTAGTAAAAATTAGCATAGAACAGCTTTCCAAATTAAAATTAATGTTTTTTTGGCTTAGTTATGCGATTTTTAAACTATGATTTTTCGACCAAATTTGCTGTTTTTATACCTTTTTGCAAGGTTTTTTTTATTTCAGTCAAAAACTTTTAATTGCATCAACAAACGTAGTATGCAGATTTTTTAGCGCTTTAAAAACTCGCACAAAAAAGCGTTCCGAGTAAAAATTAATGCTATTTTGGCTTAATTATGACGTTTGGAAAACATTGATTTTTCAATGAAATTGTCTGTTTTTATACCTTTTTTGCAAAATATAATTTCAGTCAGACGATTGAAACGCAGTGAAGGAATCATTTCCGACCCTATAAAGTATATATATTCTTAATCAGGATGAACTGCTGCATCGATCTAGCTATGCCTGGAAGAAAAATAAAATTTTCCGAATTTTGTTAAAATTTGAAATTTTCATAAGGGGTTACATCATGATTTTTTTCAAAAATCGACAAAAAATTGAATTTTTAAAATTGAAAAACTGAGTATGCAGATTTGTTATTCCAGTAAAAATTAGCATAGAACAGCTTTCCAAATTAAAATTAATGATTTTTTGGCTTAGTTATGAGATTTTTAAACTATGATTTTTTGACCAAATTTGCTGTTTTTATACCTTTTTGCAAGGTTTTTTTTATTTTAGTCAAAAACTTTTAATTGCATCAACAAACGTAGTATGCAGAGTTGTTAGCGCTTTAAAAACTCGCACAAAAAAGCGTTCCGAGTAAAATTAATGCTATTTTGGCTTAATTATGATGTTTGGAAAAGATTGATTTTTTAATGAAATTGTCTGTTTTCATACCTTTTTTGCAAAATATAATTTCAGTCAGACGATTGAAACGCAGTGAAGGAATCATTTCCGACCCTATAAAGTATATATATTCTTAATCAGGATGAACTGCTGCATCGATCTAGCTATGCCTGGAAGAAAAATAAAATTTTCCGAATTTTGTTAAAATTTGAAATTTTCATAAGGGGTTACATCATGATTTTTTTCAAAAATCGACAAAAATTGAATTTTTTAAATTGAAAAACTGAGTATGCAGATTTGTTATTCTAGTAAAAATTAGCATAGAACAGCTTTCCAAATTAAAATTAATGATTTTTTGGCTTAGTTATGAGATTTTTAAACTATGATTTTTTGACCAAATTTGCTGTTTTTATACCTTTTTGCACGGTTTTTTTTATTTCAGTCAAAAACTTTTAATTGCATCAAAAAACGTAGTATGCAGATTTGTTAGCGCTTTAAAAACTCGCACAAAAAAGCGTTCCGAATCAAAATTAATGCTATTTCGGCTTTATTAAGATGTTTGGAAAACATTGATTTTCCAATGAAATTGTCTGTTTTTATACCTTTTTTGCAGAATATAATATCACTCAGACGATTGAAACGCAGTGAAGGAATCATTTCCGACCCTATAAATTATATATATTCTTAATCAGGATGAACTGCTGCATCGATCTAGCTATGCCTGGAAGAAAAATAAAATTTTCCGAATTTTGTTAAAATTTGAAATTTTCATAAGGGGTTACATCATGATTTTTTTCAAAAATCGACAAAAAATTGAATTTTTTAAATTGAAAAACTGAGTATGCAGATTTGTTATTCTAGTAAAAATTAGCATAGAACAGCTTTCCAAATTAAAATTAATGATTTTTTGGCTTAGTTATGAGATTTTTAAACTATGATTTTTTGACCAAATTTGCTGTTTTTATACCTTTTTGCAAGGTTTTTTTATTTTAGTCAAAAACTTTTAATTGCATCAACAAACGTAGTATGCAGAGTTGTTAGCGCTTTAAAAACTCGCACAAAAAAGCGTTCCGAGTAAAAATTAATGCTATTTTGGCTTAATTATGATGTTTGGAAAAGATTGATTTTTTAATGAAATTGTCTGTTTTTATACCTTTTTTGCAAAATATAATTTCAGTCAGACGATTGAAACGCAGTGAAGGAATCATTTCCGACCCTATAAAGTATATATATTCTTAATCAGGATGAACTGCTGCATCGATCTAGCTATGCCTGGAAGAAAAATAAAATTTTCCGAATTTTGTTAAAATTTGAAATTTTCATAAGGGGTTACATCATGATTTTTTTCAAAAATCGACAAAAATTGAATTTTTTAAATTGAAAAACTGAGTATGCAGATTTGTTATTCTAGTAAAAATTAGCATAGAACAGCTTTCCAAATTAAAATTAATGATTTTTTGGCTTAGTTATGAGATTTTAAACTATGATTTTTTGACCAAATTTGCTGTTTTTATACCTTTTTGCACGGTTTTTTTATTTCAGTCAAAACTTTTAATTGCATCAAAAAACGTAGTATGCAGATTTGTTAGCGCTTTAAAAACTCGCACAAAAAAGCGTTCCGAATCAAAATTAATGCTATTTCGGCTTTATTAAGATGTTTGGAAAACATTGATTTTCCAATGAAATTGTCTGTTTTTATACCTTTTTTGCAGAATATAATATCACTCAGACGATTGAAACGCAGTGAAGGAATCATTTCCGACCCTATAAATTATATATATTCTTAATCAGGATGAACTGCTGCATCGATCTAGCTATGCCTGGAAGAAAAATAAAATTTTCCGAATTTTGTTAAAATTTGAAATTTCATAAGGGGTTACATCATGATTTTTTTCAAAAATCGACAAAAAATTGAATTTTTTAAATTGAAAAACTGAGTATGCAGATTTGTTATTCTAGTAAAAATTAGCATAGAACAGCTTTCCAAATTAAAATTAATGATTTTTTGGCTTAGTTATGAGATTTTTAAACTATGATTTTTTGACCAAATTTGCTGTTTTTATACCTTTTTGCAAGGTTTTTTTTATTTCAGTCAAAAACTTTTAATTGCATCAACATACGTAGTATGCAGATTTGTTAGCGCTTTAAAAACTCGCACAAAAAGCGTTCCGAGTAAAAATTAATGCTATTTCGGCTTTATTATGATGTTTGGAAAACATTGATTTTTCAATGAAATTGTCTGTTTTTATACCTTTTTTGCAAAATATAATTTCAGTCAGACGATTGAAACGCAGTGAAGGAATCATTTCCGACCCTATAAAGTATATATATTCTTAATCAGGATGAACTGCTGCATCGATCTAGCTATGCCTGGAAGAAAAATAAAATTTTCCGAATTTTGTTAAAATTTGAAATTTTCATAAGGGGTTACATCATGATTTTTTTCAAAAATCGACAAAAAATTGAATTTTTAAAATTGAAAAACTGAGTATGCAGATTTGTTATTCTAGTAAAAATTAGCATAGAACAGCTTTCCAAATTAAAATTAATGATTTTTTGGCTTAGTTATGAGATTTTTAAACTATGATTTTTTGACCAAATTTGCTGTTTTTATACCTTTTTGCAAGGTTTTTTTTATTTCAGTCAAAAACTTTTAATTGCATCAAAAAACGTAGTATGCAGATTTGTTAGCGCTTTAAAAACTCGCACAAAAAAGCGTTCCGAATCAAAATTAATGCTATTTCGGCTTTATTATGATGTTTGGAAAACATTGATTTTTCAATGAAATTGTCTGTTTTTATACCTTTTTTGCAAAATATAATTTCAGTCAGACGATTGAAACGCAGTGAAGGAATCATTTCCGACCCTATAAAGTATATATATTCTTAATCAGGATGAACTGCTGCATCGATCTAGCTATGCCTGGAAGAAAAATAAAATTTTCCGAATTTTGTTAAAATTTGAAATTTTCATAAGGGGTTACATCATGATTTTTTTCAAAATCGACAAAAAATTGAATTTTTAAAATTGAAAAACTGAGTATGCAGATTTGTTATTCTAGTAAAAATTAGCATAGAACAGCTTTCCAAATTAAAATTAATGATTTTTTGGCTTAGTTATGAGATTTTTAAACTATGATTTTTTGACCAAATTTGCTGTTTTTATACCTTTTTGCAAGGTTTTTTTTATTTCAGTCAAAAACTTTTAATTGCATCAAAAAACGTAGTATGCAGATTTGTTAGCGCTTTAAAAACTCGCACAAAAAAGCGTTCCGAATCAAAATTAATGCTATTAAGGCTTTATTATGATGTTTGGAAAACATTGATTTTTCAATGAAATTGTCTGTTTTTATACCTTTTCTGCAGAATATAATTTCAGTCAGACGATTGAAACGCAGTGAAGGAATCATTTCCGACCCTATAAAGTATATATATTCTTAATCAGGATGAACTGCTGCATCGATCTAGCTATGCCTGGAAGAAAAATAAAATTTTCCGAATTTTGTTAAAATTTGAAATTTTCATAAGGGGTTACATCATGATTTTTTTCAAAAATCGACAAAAAATTGAATTTTTAAAATTGAAAAACTGAGTATGCAGATTTGTTATTCTAGTAAAAATTAGCATAGAACAGCTTTCCAAATTAAAATTAATGATTTTTTGGCTTAGTTATGAGATTTTTAAAATATGATTTTTTGGCCAAATTTGCTGTTTTTATACCTTTTTGCAAGGTAACTTTTATTTTAGTCAAAAACTTTTAATTGCATCAACAAACGTAGTATGCAGATTTTTTAGCGCTTTAAAAACTCGCACAAAAAAGCGTTCCGAGTAAAAATTAATGTTATTTTGGCTTAATTATGATGTTTGGAAAACATTGATTTTTCAATGAAATTGTCTGTTTTTATACCTTTTTTGCAAAATATAATTTTAGTCAGACCTATCTAAGTATAAAAAATTCACGGCTCCAGAAGACCTGAAAAATTCGCGACCTAGTTATATCGATATCCGCCCCGTTCGTTGTCTTTTCATATTTTTTTCCCAAATCTCCCAATAAATTTCCATTGATTTTTTTCTTTGTATTGTTCTCATTTATTTTAACTCGACAATAATATTTTCATACATCGTAATAAAGCTTTTAGAGTGCGTTACTAGGCTATCCTTGGCATACTTAACCCAACCGAGAGAAACCACCACGGGATCCACCATGGGGACGCTGGGCAGGCTCAACGTACTGGGGATGAGTGCGAATGTACTCCAGGGACTTCAGGATGGCAGCTGGGATTGGAGGAGGAGTGGGCAGGAGAGCTCCCTGGGGCTGGAAGCCGTTCTCATCAGCCACGTACTGGATCTGGACGAGCTCACCCTCGGGGGAGTAGTAGGAGTAGCCACCGTTGACCTGGTAGCCTCCAAGGCCGGACTCCTGGGCGGCGATGCCGTTGCTGGTCTCATAGTTGTAGTTGTAGTGGCCATCGGGCTGGATATCGGCACCGGTCTTGGTGATGTAGGCACCAGCATCCTGGTTGTAGTTGGCGGCAGCATAAGCGCAGGCCAGGAAGGCGGAGGCGACGAGCATCTGGAGGAGAAGGAGAAGAAATTACCAATTAGAATTTATAGAATTGCACTATGCCTTAAACATTTTTTATCTTTTTTGAATATTAAGAAGCTTTTAATTTGTAATCGTATTATTTTTTAATAAAAATGTATATTTCTTAGCTCGTCCTTTTTACTTACGTAGCGGAACATCTTGGCTTAGGGTATGTTTGTCTGAGACTGCAAGACGACTCGGAATGATGTCTCTGTGGCACATAGGCAATGTTTTTATACAAATTCTCGATCCGAAACCCGATCCACCCAAAACAACTTTTACGCCCGGCTGCAGGAAACTCATCTAAATAACAATAAGCCCAAAAAGAGTTGAAATTGGTTAAACTAGAGCGTCGTGAGTGGCCAAAAAGTAAAGAGCCAAACCACGCACCGGCCACAGTCTCTTCGTGGTCTCTTCCAGTTTCATCTCAAGCTGGGAGGGCTTAGGCATACAGCCGGGGTTGAAAGCCTGGGAATTATACATAATTTTTGTTATATATTTATTGGTTGAATTTATCCAATTTGAGGTAATTAATAAGGATGCTAACCACATCCGGAGAAGGTGTCTTGCCACAAATTTAATTACTGAATTATTATTAAAGAGAATTTAAAAATGTTGTTCTGTCAGACTTATCTTTGACACAATGACGTCTCATAAATATAACATATATAGTATATCTATATTTAATATATACCTAAAGTCTTTCAGCATCTGAAGATCTATTATCTCACCCTCGATTGTCCGTGTGTGGGCCCTGGAAAGAGCAAATGTTAAAAGCATAACCCCATGCGGCAATGTCAATGTCGGAGCTTAGCCTAGGTCTGGTCTGCGTCTCTAGTCTTAGTTTTCAGGTTCCAGATTCAGTTTCAGTTTCAGTTCAAGCTTCAGTTTCGTCTGGCACACCCAAAAAGGCAGTCTTAATTAAATGCATTTGAAACAGACGCGTCTCGATACGATTTTAGCATAATTTATGATGCCACTCTGACATCAACTTCAATGCTTAACTTTTCCAGTTCGATCCGTCCCCGCAAACCCTTGCCTTTCCCTCGATCACTATCTCAGTCTGCGAGGCGCTGAAATGTGTGCGTTTAACAAATTGGGCCATAAATGTGAGTTAATGCCTAATTGATACGCAGAGTGAGATATCGAACAGGATTAACTCGTTACCAGCCCCGCCCAATCCGCCTAATCCAAGCGGACAAAACGTCTCGTGTCACCAACTCGCGGCACCTTTAATTTGATTTCTTAAAAATTTAATATTCTAGCACAGTGGGATGCAACCAGTTCTCGGACGAATGAATGGAAGCTTTTATAAATTAATAATATCGAATATCAAATTATAATTGGCTGCCTTTATTGGCATTCTTTGGAGATTAGATTTAATTGGGTGGTTTTTATACTCTTACAAGGTATTATAATTTCAGTCAGAAGCTTGTAAAGCTGTGAAAGAGTCATTTCAGACCCTATCATATCATTTATATTCTTGATCAGGATCAACTGCTGAATCGATAAAGCTATGTCTGGAAGAAACCTAAAATTTTGAAATTTTGTTAAAATTTTAAAATTTGATAAGGGGTTACATCATTCTTTTTTCCAAAATTCGACAAAAATTTAATTTAATTTTAAAACTGAGTATGCAGATTTGTTATTCTAGTAAAAATTAGCATAGAACAGCTTTCCAAATTAAAATTAATGATTTTTTGGCTTAGTTATGAGATTTTTAAACTATGATTTTTTGGCCAAATTTGCTGTTTTTATACCTTTTTGCAAGGTTTTTTTTATTTTAGTCAAAAACTTTTAATTGCATCAACAAACGTAGTATGCAGATTTTTTAGCGCTTTAAAACTCGCACAAAAAAGCGTTCCGAATCAAAATTAATGCTATTTCGGCTTTATTATGATGTTTGGAAAACATTGATTTTTCAATGAAATTGTCTGTTTTTATACCTTTTTTGCAAAATATATTTTCAGTCAGACGATTGAAACGCAGTGAAGGAATCATTTCCGACCCTATAAAGTATATATATTCTTAATCAGGATGAACTGCTGCATCGATCTAGCTATGCCTGGAAGAAAAATAAAATTTTCCGAATTTTGTTAAAATTTGAAATTTTCATAAGGGGTTACATCATGATTTTTTTTTTAAAAATCGACAAAAAATTGAATTTTTAAAATTGAAAAACTGAGTATGCAGATTTGTCATTCTAGTAAAAATTAGCATAGATCAGCTTTCTAAATTAAAATTAATGATTTTTTGGCTTAGTTATGAGTTTTTCAAATTTTGATTTTTTTAATAAATTGCTTAGTAATATAAATTCAATTGAACACCTTTGAAGTGTCTTTGACTAGATAATTATGGATTAGTCTCTGTACTAAATTATATATTTAATATATCCCTCAAAAGTATTTACTCCAATTTTATAACATTTTACCAAGATTTTACATAGGTTGCCTTTAAAGAAAATTATTCTATTAAGAAGACAAAAAAAATCTCTTGGATCTTCTGTCCTTTAATGGCCCAATTTTCGCCCCACTGTGTTGATAGTTTTTGCGATGTGCCAACTAAATAATTCAACTTGGGAGGCATGGCCTTGAGAAGAGATCTGATGAGAACTCGATGGTAATAAAATGGACTTTATGACATCCACGGAAAGTGAAATCATCGGTCTGCTTGAGAGGAAATGGTGATGGTGCGTTTAATTTCAAGACAGTTTTTGGTAACATGTCAAAGACGTTTAAAAGATTTATTGTTTTGTGCGATTTTTAGGCGCAAATTCATATTGGTTTCTGAGAATGAATTAATAAAACATTGATTATGTATTTAGCACCTTTGATGTTGCTGTCGTCACTAGACTGGGGGAACCCCTCAACTTTATTCCCATAATTATGCATAATGCTGAGGAACGATTATGGTTATTAGTTTAATGCCGCTAATTAATTCCAATTTATGAACAGGCTACCTTAAAAAGAGGGGATAAAACGTGGAATGGCTTTGTTTATAGGCACTTAAACTTAACCTTCACGAATTTGATTGATGTATAAAAAATCAAACTAAAGTTAAAGAAATATCTGAAAGTTGTAAGTCTTTACAAAGAGGAGCAAAATATAGTTATAATGCGACTTAGTCCACAAAAATAATCCCTAAACTCACCAAAAGAGTAAAGAAAGATTCGTTTTACCCATATTGGTGGCATTTGATTCATTTGAGTGACTACTTAATAACGATTGGCTTTTGTATTCTGCTTGCTATTCAAAAAAAAAAATGCATCTACCCAGCAACCGCATCTAAGCCCAATAAACTAGTTCCAAAACATATAATATTATTTTTTGCTGTCTTTTTATTAAGTTTTTGGTTTCCTCTATTCAATAATAAAACAAATTGGTTTCGCATGGCAATGCGCGTCAATGGGTTTGGCGGTTTCAATAATTCACACCGATTCTGGGGCTATATGTATATATAATCTCCCGGGTTTCGATTCAGCTTTATGCAGATGAGACAGTGTCAATATTGGTGCAAGTTTTGTCAGCCAAAAATCGAGCTGAATTTATAATTTATTTTTCCCAAGTCAAACTTTATATTAAGTGTATCGCATTCATAATGGGAAATGATTATATTCAGTGTGAAATCGAACTGGAGATACTCTGATAATCTCTAGTTCGACTCTACTTATAATTCTGATCAAGAATATATATAATTTATAAGGTCGGAAATGACTCGTTCACTAACTTTTACACTCCTGACCAAAATTAGAATACGCTGCTAGGATATAAAAATTTGTTCTTAGGTTACATTTAATAAATATCATATATTATGTATTTAATAAAAGTATCCGATCTTCGCTATATTCCAAATAAATTTAGCCTAGTTTTTGCACAGTAAATGGAGTAAAAAATATTCATAAAATTAACTGCTCTAAAAGGTTGGCATGTGTCCAAACATTAAGACTTCATCCAAGAGTGTTTCAAATTAAATGCAAATTAATTGGATCGAAATCGAATGCATATTAATTTCACTGAAACTGAAACTAAAACCGATACATTTAAATATTGCTAAATATGTCGCATTGACATTTAGCATTTTCCAAAGCTCGCAGCCACGAACCTGTTGGCCTTCCGGGAAGTCTGTCATAAAATGTCCAAATATTATTATGGTCTAAGCAACAAATTGTGGAATTAATTATTATTTTAGTTTTCCAAAATTAAAAACCAAAGTGGCTTCTTATTTATGGGTTCCATTTTTAATTACTTATTAAAAAGATTGCATAATTTGTGTAGTATTTTAGAATTAACACCTCTACTGGCAGCTTTCTTAGCTAATAAAAACTGCCAAATCTATTCTTATTTAAATTTCTTTAGGTTTTTATATTCCCTGTAGTATATTAACTATCCTTTAACATGAATGTTCATCGTCTGGGTCTTAAAGTGGTTTGATAGATCTGGTTTCATTAACACGAGAATTTGTATAAAAACTTTAGCAAACTGCAAAAGAGTCGTCATTCAGAGTCCGTCTTCAACTAAGCCAAGATGTTCCGCTACGTAAGTCTAAAAGGATATTTTTGAAGTGATAAAGATTCTGAGATAAAGAGAAAAACTAATCATAGCTAAAATTGTGAATAAGTGATAATTGAAGTCTACCTACCAGACTACTTTAATTATTCTTGATTAAGAAAACTACTTTCAAATGGAAATTGTGAAATATAAATAATTAATTATAATTCCCTATTTATCAGATTCTCGTCGCCTCCGCCTTCCTGGCCTGCGCTTATGCTGCCGCCAACTACAACCAGGATGCTGGTGCCTACATCACCAAGAGCGGTGCTGACATCCAGCCCGATGGCCACTACAACTACAACTATGAGACCAGCAACGGCATCGCCGCCCAGGAGTCCGGCCTCGGTGGCTACCAGGCCAACGGTGGCTACTCCTACTACTCCCCCGAGGGTGAGCTCGTCCAGATCCAGTATGTGGCTGATGAGAACGGCTTCCAGCCCCAGGGAGCTCTCCTGCCCACTCCTCCTCCAATCCCAGCTGCCATCCTGAAGTCCCTGGAGTACATCCGCACTCATCCCCAGTACGTTGAGCCTGCCCAGCATAGCGGTCATGGCTTTGGCAGGCTTAGGAGCCTGGTTGGTTAAGCACAGAAGCGCCTCATGAAAATTGTAAATATGTATATTTTTGAAGAGATTAAATAAAACGAGGAGATGTATACAAAACTAAAATTGTTTATGTATTTTCTATTTATATTGGAAACTAAAATTAAGAATGGTTAAAAATCTCCAGATTAATTAACTTTCTCAGTGCCTAAGGGTTAGTCACCAAAAAGATTTAGGGCTTAAATTCAGCAAACTTTTTATTTGTTGTCACTTATATCGGTTTTTAAATTTAAAGTCAAATATTAACAACATTTTAGGAAAGTTCCTTAATATCTTAAAATACGGCTGCTGTGGACATTTTTACCAAGTTTGATAGAATTGAAAAATGGACAAGTAAGCGCAATTTTTCTGTGCATATTAAAATATTTTAGCAAAATTATTGTGCCACAAATTTAAAAAAAATTTATTATTTTAAAACTAATCCTCTTAATTTTAATCGAAGTTCTTTCTTATTACTATTTTATTCAAAGCTTTTAATTCAAATCTTAGCGGTCACAATGAGCTTCTTTAATTTCCGATAGGGGGCTCTCTCAGAGCCGTCTGGCGACCTCCGATTTAAGTGTGACCAGTTAAAGACTTTTGTTAAATCATTTCAAAAAGTCGATGACATCGATTAACGATAGAAACACCAATGTTCCAGCAACATTGAATTATAAAATTTTAAAACTTGATTTTACCAAATTTTGACCAGGATGCTGGCCCACAGGATGCAGCTTTGGAGGACGACGAACGCAGCGGCGGCCCTTCAATCCGTTGCCGGCCGTTGGGCCACACAGGTAAGCGGGAAGTGGCAAATATCAGCCGGTTATCTGTGACATAACCTGCAAGTGGGCAATGTTTGTCCCGAAGTATCCAAGCAAAATTCAATGAAAACTTTCAATTTCAGAACTCCAGTGTGGGCAGAAGAGATCTCCACCAGCAGAGGTTCATTCGGGGCAGTCCCCTGCCACTGACAGTCAGCGGGAAATGGCTGAATCCCCACCAGTTGCGCTTTGCCAGCGGGGGAGCAGCTGCAGCAGCGGGAGTTAACACGGCACCCGGTGGAGAATTCATGCAAGCTGTATCCACCGTGGAATTGGTTGATCTTCCCGACATACCGGCTGCCCCCACGCCCCCTGTCATAGGCGCGAATGGCATCGACGTTATGGATGTGGTCGATGTGTCTGGGGAGCCTACTTTTGCCTCAATAGGACTGGGTGGCTGGTCGCCAATTGGCATTGTCCAGAACTGCATGGAGTTCCTGCATTGTACTTGGGACCTGCCCTGGTGGGGAGCCATCGCCATCGGAACCCTTGTGGTGCGCACCATCATCTTCCCGCTAGTCATTGTGGCGCAACGGAACTCTGCCAAGATGAACAACAACATGCCACAGATGCAGATGCTCCAGCTGAAGATGACCGAGGCCAGGCAGTCGGGCAATGCCATCGAGTCGGCGCGATACGCCCAGGAGATGATGCTGTTCATGAAGGAGAAGGGCGTCAATCCGCTGAAGAACATGGTGGTGCCATTGGCTCAGGCGCCGCTTTTCATCAGCTTCTTCATGGGACTGCGACAGATGGCCAACACACCAGTGGAGTCGATGCGTGATGGAGGTCTTTTCTGGTTCCAGGATCTCACGCTGGCGGATCCCTACTATCTACTACCCATGATCACCAGTGCCACGCTGTACCTGACCATTGAAATCGGCACGGATTCCGCACGATTGTCCGCCGCCAACATGAACACCATGAAGTATGTGCTTAGAGCCTTGCCCATCGTCATCTTTCCCTTCACGATGAACTTCCCCGCTGCCATCCTGACCTACTGGGCCTGCAGTAACTTCATATCGCTGGGCCAGGTGGCTCTGCTGCGGATACCCGCTGTCAGGGATTATTTTAAGATCGAGAAGATGCAAACGCACAAGCCAAGCGCACTGCCCCCGAAGAAGGGATTCGTTGGTGGCATGAAGGAGTGTAAGTATCAGGAAGGAGTTCCAGGAGTGTCACAGAAATTTCTAAGGCTATAGAAAGAATTTTATCATATTCTTACAGAGTTCTGTGGCTCCTCTGTTATTTTCAGTGGTTAATTTCGATCTAATTTTAATTTGAATTTACTTTCCAGCATGGGACAACATGAAGATCACCAAGGAGATTGAGGAGCGACAACGTCTAGACGAGATCAGATTCGCAAAGGCGGGCAAGGGTCCGCTGGTCAAAACCTTCAAATATGATCCCACCAAGACAACAAAGCCAGGCACCGCGGAGCCGCACATGCGGATAAAGGAACCGCCCAATGACAAGTCATAGGGTTAGACCGTCGGTGCTGTGTCCTGTTACGTTAACTTAACCCTTTTAGCCCATAGTAAACTCCCATTAAACTTTGACAGTTTTGCTGCTAAAAAAAAATATAAAATTGTAAAAAACCAAAGGATGGCAATAGTTGTTTCATTCGGGTGGGAAAAGGTAATATTGGTAGGATATAGAAATGTCATTGGTCATAAATTGAAGCCATTACTACTTGAGATAACATTACCTAAAGGGAAAACGAGCTAACGACTTTTGTATATATTCAATATTATGATAAACCCATCGGAAAGCTGTAATCTTTCGAGAGTTCTTAATAGATTAGCTAATAAGCTAGGCAAACAGTAGACCTGTTGTAATATTGTAATTCTTGACTTTGCTTACAAGCCCAATAAAATCAATATTATTGTTAATGAAACAAAAGGCAAGACACATCAAGGCGAGGAGCTAGAAGTATCAATTAGTGTCAGGCCTATAAATCAATCATAATCATAAATGAATATAAGCTTAGCTTGTTGAAAATTCCACAAAATTCCAATGGAACTCATTTAAAAACTATAAAATCATTGATAATTATTATTACTAAACTTCAACAAGTTGACAATAACTCAAGTAAGGGAGGATATAGCTATTATTCATTCAACCACTCGCAGAGATGCACTGGTTGATCACCTCGGCCAGATGCTTGTTTTCCAGGGCGGCCGCCACTCGTTCCTTGTCCGCCAGCTGCTTATTCACCGCCAGTTCGGAGGCATGTGTTCCGGGCGTTATCTCCACGGTGACCTTAAAGCGCGGCGGCAGCGAACGGAGCAGCTTCACCCGAATGGACAGGCCAATTAGCGTGGCCATCGAGCAGTGGGGAATCGTCGGGGTGAAGCTGATGTGCACTGAATTCTGGGCATCATTGATGCGGATGAGCTCCTCCTGCACCACATGCAGCTGCTCCAGGGTCAGCGGATGCTCTGGGTCATTAATGTTCCTTATAAGATCTAAGTAGAATCATTTTTATTATTAATTTCTTCTGTCTTGGCTGAGTCTTACCGAAAATCTCCCTTTTGTCAAACGGATCGGAGACGTTTTCGTCTTCATCGTTGGCCGTTAGCACTCGTTCCTTGATCTTGTCATAGACACTTGGGTTTATATTCTCAATTTCCGTTGGCATTTTGCTTTGTTTACTTCGTATTTACTTTATTTTTTACGTTTTTTATGAAAATCGAAGCAAAATAAACCAGACTGACAAATAATGTGTGCACATCTGCACAAATGAATATATACTAAATATGACCTTCTTTTTTTAAGGGGTGTACACACTTTTAGCGCGTCATATATGCGAATTTAAAATTTATTCAAATCAATTATTTGAACGATTCTTAGCATATTAGCGCTAATTAATTGGAAAACAAGGTAATTCAAGTATACATTTGCAAGTTTAAGGTATAAATCACATCAGAGGTGCATTAAAACCCGAAGTGGCTGTTATATTTAAGTTGCATTTTCAAACGAATCGCAAATAAATTAAGCATACAATAAATTGTTTATACCTTGTACGGAACTCATTGACTGACAGATTTGATTTTAATTTTGATTTGTTTTTAAATCAAAGCAATTTTTGTAGAATTTATATCAATCAAATTGTCGCGAGGGAAGCACAGACTTCCAGGAAAAAATCTCCAGCAAATTGACATGTCGGGGCTGACTTACGTAAAAGGGCGTAATTACAGACGCCTCCATATTTATGTGCTCTTCGAATTAGCTACCTCAACGTTCGGATTGTTAACTCAAGTTAGTTTTAGTTTAGCTTTAGTCCATCCCCCTCCCGATCCGTTCGCTTTTTTGCAACCCGGTGCTAAGTAGACGACACATTTGGGGATCCGTGCTTGGCTCTGACTAAGCCTTGAGCCCATTTCGCTGTATCTGCCTGACCGCGCTCTCATTTCATTTATTATTTCTATATCCATATATATTTTTTGTTGAGAAGCCGGTGCACTTGACGGCGATTTCCTCGGGTTATAATTAGCCGGCGACTTATGAAGATCAACGTGGAAAATCAGTATTTACATACCGAACGGGTTTCCGGCGCACTTGACGTGCACCTATTGGCAATTAGCACCGAATTACAAACTGGTTAACAGCCGCCCGGCGGAGAGATGCCTCTTGGTTGAAACGCATAAAATGGGTGTGTTTCGTCGGTGGAAGCAGCAGTTTGGGTAAAATTACCAAGCGGTGAACATCAGTATAGAAAAGGATATGAAGTCGGTTGTAAGTAATCGCAATCCCGAGCCAGATCTCTCATCTCTCTCTGGGGAATATCAGAAACAGAACATTAATTTAATTTAAACCTCTAGCATCATCTTGTTATTTAATATTTACTATTATTTGCAGATTATTCTTCTGGCCTTGGTGGCCTTCTGTCAGGCGGCTCCCTTGGATAGCAAGGAGTCCAAAGAGCAAACCTCCCTGGGCGTGGGTCCCATCAGTCCCGATGTGATCAGTGAGCCCAAGCCCACCGAGGGAAAAGTCGTTCTGCTGAAGGATAGCCCTTTGAATCGGCAGAAGCGTGATGAGCTTAAGAAACCTGACAGTGTAAAGGCTCATGAGGGACTGCAGCACAATCCCCATCGTCAGCCGGTGGCACCTCCACCGCTAGCTCCCGCCAAGCCCGATAGTGTCAAGGCACATGAAGGACTCCAGCACAATCCTCACAAGCGGGAGGCTCACCATGAGCCGGGTCATCAGGAGCAGCCTCAGGTGGAGGAATTGCCAGTGCCCCACACTCTGCCAACCGCCGCTCCAGCCGTTGAGCTGGCCAAGAAGGAGAAGCGTGATACTGAGCAGAAGCCCGATAGTGTGAGGACCAAGGAATCCCTGGCTCACCATGAGCATCCAGCTACCTTGCAGGCAGACAGCGTGAAGGCCCATACGGATGAGCATACCGCTGAGAAGAGGGCCAAGCGAGAGGCTCACCACGAGGAGGGACACCAGGAGCAGCCTCAGGCGGAGGATCTGGCTCACCATGCGCTTCCAGCTACATTGCAAGCAGACAGCGTGAAGGCCCATACGGATGAGCATACCGCTGAGAAGAAGGCCAAGCGAGAGGCTCACCACGAGGAGGGACACCAGGAGCAGCCTCAGGCGGAGGATCTGGCTCACCATGCGCTTCCAGCTACATTGCAAGCAGACAGCGTGAAGGCCCATACGGATGAGCATCCCGCTGAGAAGAAGGCCAAGCGAGAGGCTCACCACGAGGAGGGACACCAGGAGCAGCCCCATACGGAGGAATTGCCAGTGCCCCATGCTCTGCCATCCGCCGCTCCAGCCGTTGATCTGGTCAAGAAGCAGGAGAAGCGCGAGACTCAGGTGAAGCCAGACAGTGTTCAGGCCAGCGAACCCCATGCTCCTCATGAGCTCGGAGCCGCTGACATTCCGGACGTCGTGAAGGCTCTTTCTGGAGTTCATCCTGCCTCGGACTTGCTCAAGAAGCAGGAGAAGCGCGATATTCCGGTGCCCACTCAGACGAAGGCCACTGCCGAGCCGGCAGACACCAAATCGGAGGGAGCCAGCACCACGCCTTCATCTCCTCACTTCAAGCGCCCGGTGCCGGTGGATGTACTCTTGCACCAGAAGCATGCCGAAAAGTCCACTTCCAGCTCTGAAGAAAGCAAGGAGAGCAAGGAGAAAGTGAAGGCCTAAACTTCAATGCCCAAAGTCGCTAATTGGACCACCACGAGATTTATAGTCATCAAAACTGATCGAAAAATAAAAACAAACAATAATATTTACACAGTTACATAAGCAACTATCGACTGCTAATAAATCAATAAATAGGGGGGATTATTTATGGGATATATCAAATCAGGCTAACTTCGACACGCCGAAGTTGGTATACCTTTGGAATTTGCAACTGAATTATAGGATCGAATGGAAAGTCGATCAAAATTTATAATTAAATATTCGCATTCTTTAAAATGGTATATTTTTATATGACTGAAGCTATAATACCCTTTATAGGTATAACAAGAAGCTATACAATTGTAGTTTGTAATTGGATCTCAGGTATATGCTAAAAACAAAGGAACAATTAAACATATTTAATTAAGTTAAGTTTTGTTTTGCTAATTTATAAGTAAATATTTATGACAGTGGGAAATTTAGCTGACAATTATGGGATGCAAGTAGCATCCCAAAGTTAACAAGACGACGCAAAAAAATGGAATAATATATCACAAGGGATTTTTCTAGAGGTTTTCCCATTAAGTGTAATTATTACAATTAGAGCTTCAACGTACTTAAATGTATTTTTAAGTAATTCGAAACGTACACAAATAATTACCGAAACTTCATTAAGATGCCCTGTGGAAATGAAGGAATAAATTAATAAATCAATCAAGTGTAAAGATGATAGAAATGACTGAATGTTAGGGAGTTTTCTAAATTTTGCTTCTTATTAAGTTTATTCAAAAATCAATATTTAATTACTTCTATGATAACTTAATGGAACTTCATCTTTTTAAACATGGCTTAATTTGTTCCCTTTTGTTAAGGCCAAATTTTGCATTTTCAGAGTTTTAAGCTTGCGTTTTACAACAATCCAATAAAAAATATAGAAATTGTTCCAGAAAGCCTCGTTAATATTATTGTTAAGCAAATATTTATGAAAATCTATTAGGCTCATCTGACTTTTTTAACGATCTCCAGATTGTTTACTCTCTGTGCCAGGCACTAAACATATTAATTAACGACTCTATTTTCTATTTACTGAATAAATATTTACGATGTTAGCTAGACGAGGGTGTAACCAACACCTCCGCCGCCGGTTCCTCCTCCCTTTGAGGTGTTCCAAAGTAATCTTCCGATTTGTAAACCTCAAAAGGCTGATACTCGCCGTCGACCAGATTGGAGCGAGGCTGTGAGACAGAGTTCAGGGGATCGGCGGCAGTCAGCTTAGCCTTGAGGGGTTTCAGGAGGAGTCCCTTGATGCTGTAATCCGTCACATGGAGCTCCTCCTCCGCCATGTCCACCGATCTCTCAACTTCGCTTAAATTTGTACTCACAGCGGACACAAACTGCTCCAGGCCATCGATCCGTGTGCGTAGTTGGTCGAAGCTTTCGCTGAAGCCCAGGATGCTGCACACGTTGTTGGCCATCATCCCATTGGACTCCGCACGCACCTAAAAGTTATGAAATATTGTAAAAAAAAAACAAGTGAAAGCACAAAGAAACTACTCACCGAAGATAACAATGTTTCGAATTCATCGAGTCTTGCCAACATATCGTCTATATTGTTGCACAGCGGGCTTATCTCCTTGTCCAGATCAGCGCTTTGTATGATTTTGGCATAGTCCTGCGAGACATTATTCAGATCCACGGACATTTCTTTAATTTGTTTATATTTCTTTATTTACTTGGCAGTGGTACAGTATGACCAGTTGTCAAAGCACTCAAAATGGATGGGAAGTTAAGTAAGCAAGGTCACACTGCTTAACTGATTATATGTTGCTATAAAAATGTAATTCTTGACAATAAATGTATGCACGGTAAAAAAAACAACTGTATTATCTAAAAAACAAGAAAAGAAGCTAACTTCGGCACGCCGATGTTTATATACCCTTGCAGATAGAACTTTTATGACTAGAAATCCATACAATATACATATTATATTTGCAGCTTTACATTCACAGATTTGCATTTTTCTTTTACATCAAACGATCGTTTGTATGGCACCTACATATATTATATAGTTGTCCGATTTTCATGAAATTTGACACCAAATTTAAGACTAATATATAATGGCTATACCTCAAATTTGATAAAATTCTGTTAAAAACTGAAAAAGTTATAATTTTTAATTGTATTAATTTCTCGATCGTTCCTATGGGAGCTATATGATATAGTAGTCCAATTTTCATACAATTTTACACAAAATTGTAGAGTATAATAAAATTGCAATATTTTAAATTTGATCCAATTCTATTGAAAAATGAAAATGTTAAAAAAAATTTTGTAATAATTTTCCAATCATTCCTATGGAAGCTATATGATATAGTCGTCCGATCCGGCCGATCCGTTCCGACATTTGTTCGAGTGAGAGTATATAGAAGGCTAACTACACAGTTTCATTCAGATAGCTTCAAAACTGAGAGTCTAGTTTGCGTAGAAACGGAAAGACGGACAGACGGACAGACGGCCATGGCTAGATCGACTCGGCGGTTGATCCTGATAAAGAATATATATACTTTATATGGTCGGAGGTGCCTCCTTCACTGCGTTGCAAACTTCTGACTGAAATTATAATACCCTACAAGGGTATAATAATGAATATCCTTAATAAATACAAGTCCTTGGAGTGGAAAGAATTATTTTATCAAAAGCAATGACCACTTGATCGTGCTATAAAAATATGTAATGCCAGTGTATGCACCCCTGCAAAAGAAACTCTGAAAATTTGGCATATCCCACCAGCGTCTCTACGGTCTCACTGACTATTGATTTGTGTGGGAAGTTGGAAATTGTCGGAAAAACAAACGGAATTGGAGCACAATGAGCGGCTACCGAGGCATGGGCGGCGGTGGATTCCCGTACCGCAAGCCAGCTAGTTCCGGCAACAATATGAATGCCGTACCCCCGCCACCGATGTTGAATGCGCGCGGCTATGTCGGCCGGGGCGGTAGCATCGCGTCCCTGTCCCGGGGAGGAGGCAGCAGTAGCTCCACTTCCAAGCACGGCTACTCAACGCTGGACTCCATCAGTCAATATACAAATGCCACCAATTTAGTGGGGAAGCGGAAACAGCACACGGATGATGATTACTTTGACGATGACGATGAACCCGCCCAGCAGCATCGGGACCTGGAGCAGGCTTACATACCGGCACCGGGCTCGCCGGGAGCTCCTCCTTCATCAGCGACGGCATCTTCCTCCAAGCAGGACTCTGATTCCGATGAGGATCCGTTGGAACAGTTTATGGCCGGCATCAATCAGCAAGTGGAGAAGGAGAAGCGCCAGCAGCAGCCCAAGAGTCAGTCGCAGGCGATACGCGGCGACATCGATGATGAGGACGACGAGGAGAGCTACTATCGGTACATGAAGGAGAATCCAACCGCCGGTCTGCGGGACGATGGTTCTGACCAGGAGGTGGAGTACGATGAGGATGGCAATCCAATAGCACCGCCCAAGAAGAAGGATATTGATCCACTGCCTCCCATATATCATTCTGAAATTGAGTACGAGCCCTTCGAGAAGAACTTTTACACGCAGCACGAGGATATAGCGGCACTGGACGAGGATCAAGTCAGAGAACTGCGGCGTACGCTAGGCGTGAAGGTCACCGGGCCGTCGCCACCCAAGCCAGTGACCTCCTTTGGCCACTTTGGGTTCGATGATGCGCTGATCAAGGCCGTACGCAAGGCGGAGTACACACAGCCCACGCCCATCCAGGCGCAGGCGGTGCCGACAGCTCTGTCCGGCAGGGATATCATTGGAATAGCCAAGACGGGCTCCGGCAAGACGGCTGCCTTCATTTGGCCTCTGCTAATGCACCTGATGGACCAGCGGGAGCTCAAACCGGGCGATGGTCCCATCGGTTTGATTCTGGCCCCAACCAGGGAGCTCTCCCTGCAGATCTACAACGAAGCCAAAAAGTTTGGCAAGGTGTACAACCTGAACGTGGTCTGCTGCTACGGTGGCGGATCCAAGTGGGAGCAGAGCAAGGCTCTCGAGCAGGGTGCAGAGATTATAGTTGCCACACCCGGTCGCATGATCGATATGGTCAAAATGAAGGCCACCAATCTAAGGAGAGTGACGTTCCTGGTGCTGGACGAAGCCGATCGGATGTTCCACATGGGCTTCGAGCCGCAGGTGCGCTCCATTTGCAACCACGTACGACCGGATCGACAGACCCTGCTCTTCTCAGCGACCTTTAAGAAGCGCATCGAACGCCTGGCCCGGGATGTGCTCTCTGATCCCGTGCGCATAGTCCAGGGCGACCTGAACGAAGCCAACCAGGACATCACACAGTCCGTCTTTGTCTTCCCCAATCCGCTGCAAAAGTGGAACTGGCTGTTGTGCCATCTGGTGAAGTTCCTTTCGGAGGGCAGCGTCCTTATTTTCGTGACCAAAAAGGCGGATGCCGAGACGGTGGCCAACAACCTGTTGGTGAAGGAATATAACTGCCTGCTGCTACATGGTGACATGGATCAGGCGGACAGGAACAAGGTTATCATGCAGTTTAAGCGCAAGGAATGCGACATCTTGGTGGCCACCGATGTCGCAGCACGAGGCTTGGACATCCCGCATATCAGGAATGTGGTGAACTACGATATTGCCCGGGATATTGATACGCACACTCACCGCATTGGCAGGACTGGACGAGCCGGGGAGAAGGGTAATGCTTTCACACTGGTCACCGATAAAGACAAGGAGTTCGCCGGTCATCTAGTGCGGAATCTTGAGGGTGCGGATCAACAGGTGCCGGACGATCTAATGGAGCTGGCCATGAAGAGCTCCTGGTTTCGTAGTTCCCGTTTCAAGCAGGGCAAAGGAAAAAAGCCCACCAATACTCACACCGGCTTGGGTTATCGGGAGCGAGAGCGGGGCAATGGAACAGGCGCTGGAGCTGGATCTGGATCTGGGACGGGTTCAGGAGGAGACAGGTCAGCCAGTAGCAGTTCCTCAGAAGGAGCTGTGTCCAAGTCAGCTTCCAACGCGGGACCAGCTACCGATCGATATGCGGCCATGCGGGAAGCATTCCGATCGCAGTATAACAACCAGTTCAGGGCTTCCAGCGATCGAACTTGGGAGAAGACCCTGCCCGAAGCTGGAGTATTTGCGGCGCCAATGGCGCCACCACCATCGTCCTCGCAGGGCGCTTCCTCCTCCAACTCAGCCGGCAGCAGCAGCAGCAGCAGCAGCAGTGCTCAAGATGCCAAAAGGGCCAAGAAGAGCCGCTGGAATTGAAAATGCACTCACACGATATTTGGGTTTATTTCTCTTCATATTATTTAATGTGTATTTGCTTTTGTTCCATCATTTAAAATTACAACTTATCGACTAAATTTAAACATATATATATATATATTCCGATATATATTGTTCATTCATAAATATTACGTTAGTTAAATACTCGTATGTACAACTCTCTTCCTTGATCCGATCGATCGATCCCGCAAATCCAAATAAAAATTCATTCATTAATTGTAATCTTTGTTATGTGTATTTTATTTTGAATAAAATCACATTTGCGCATCCCAACTGCCTATCGATATTTTGTTAATCGTTAAATTGTTACTCGTTAATCGTGTATCGTGTCGTTTTTATCATTCATTCAAGCGAGAGAAGATATCGAACTGGAAATTGTCGAAATCTTGAAGCTAAATTGTTCGTTAATCGTTTTTTATGAAATATTGTTTTACAATGAAACCACTACGAATTTTGTTTTCTTTTTCGCTTTTCGATATATATATGTGTATATCCATATATTTAGGTGTTAATATAATAATTTAATTACGTGTGTGTGTCCTTTGATAACATTGAGAAGAGATTGAGATTCATTTAACTACCACATCGAGGCGATTTTTGCATTAATTTTTAGAGTATTTTTTTCATTTTTTGTTTTTCTTTTTTTAGTTTTTGTTTCAAGCGCTGGACTGGGAATTAGCCTGGGCAAAGCTTAAAAATTTCGCTATATTTGAATATCATATCATATATATTTTGTCCTTTATATATAGTTCGCATATATATATACTCTATTCAAAGACTCGTCGGTGTGTGGGTGTTATATATATTTTTGTATACAAAAATTGGTCCATGTTAACCACATCGTACGAAAAACATATGGAAAGGAGCAACTGAAGATCGAACTGAAATGGAAAATCCAGGAAAAACTCAAAGGAACTGTGTGGGAAAAGAAGGAACTCAAAGAAAACATAACGCTTTAATTTTTTAGTTTTGAAATACTTTTTGTTTTTTTTTTCTCATTTATTATTATCATTATTTAAATGTATTAATTAGCTTTGTGTGTGTGTGTTTTGGGGGAGGGGGTGTGTGTTCTTGTTGCCGCATATATAACATACATATCCATATATACAATATATTTAAGATCTAGCATTAAATTTGATTTACACTTTTAATAGTTTGTTTGTTTCTCCTCCAACTTCTCTAATTATGCAGTTTTTCTTGCGTTACTTTTCACTTAATTGTACACATTTACGCTTCTGTTCATTATAGTTAATAATTCTTAAATGTTTTCTCCGCTATCTGCTGGTCTTCTGTTAAATTTCGTTTTCATCCATTTAGCTTTTATATGTAGATAGGCTTTTAAAAAATAATTAAAATTATGCAACAATTAAAATGTAAATGTTTTCATTTTATAAATGTAATAAAATTGTTGGGATTTCACTTGTATGTATTTTTTAATTTGTTTGTTTTTCTTTCGTATTCATTTATCATTTTTTTGCGCTTTTGTTTTTGTTTCTTTGCTCATGCTTTTTCTTGTTTAAATGTTTTTTGTTTGCTTTTGCATATTTTTAATACTTTTGTAAACTGAGGCGAAGAAACATTTCGCAAACAAAAGCCAATGTAAGGCAGAATGAAAGAATAAAAAAAATGGATACAGAAAATGTAATTTTCAAATAAACGAACAAAAAACTTTCGGCTGCATCGGAAATTACACATTTAAATTCGTAAATTTCATTGAAGGAATTTTTTTTGTATGCTCTCAACTGAATTGTTTTTTTATATTTTAAATCTTTTTTAATGGTATAATGACTGCTTTTGTTATTTTTTGACGCTTTCTCTGTGTATTTATGATTTTTTTTTAGATTTTTGTATGTTTTTTTGTTTAGTTAGCTTTAAATTAAATGCCAATTAATTTAATTAATTAATTTTTAAATCACATTTCATTGTTTTCAACACGGGCAAATTTAAATTTCCGCTTCGATTTTTCATCTTCCTTCTGTGTTGTTATTGTAATAGTTTTTCTTCCTTTTTTCGTGTGTGTGTGTGTGTATTTTTTTGTTGTTGTTTTTGCTGTTGGTTTGTGTGAGGAAACGAAAATGTTTTGTTGAAGTATGCGACTGGCTTCTAGTGCACATTTCATTAAAATTAATAATACTATATACAATTTATGGATTTCTGCCATTTTTTCAATTATCCATCATCTCTCTCTCTCTCTCTCGAAGCCCATTTTTTCAATATTTTTCATTAAGGGGCTTAGTCAAATAACGTGGCCAACAAGTCGTCGCTGGCATTGTTGTTGCTACTGCCACTTGAGGGTGGCGTATTAAGATCTGGCTGGGGATCCAGATAGGATAGGAATTCCATAGGATCCACATCCTGCAGCAGCTGGAAAAGATAGAAAAAGGATTTCATAAATACAAAATATAGTGATTTTTGAATGATATATAAAATATTTTTGTATCAAGAAACTGAAACCAACTTCATGATCACTAGCACTATCACTTGAGATGTTAACACTAGGTACCCCCAGGACAGACTGAGGCGCGCGCGACCTCTGCGCCTCTATTTATAGTCCCCGAGCAGAGCAGAGAAGAGAAGAGAAGAGCAGAGCAGAGAAGAGAATGTGAGTGCGTGGGAGAGAAGCTGTTGCCTCTAGAGATTAACATAGAGCGATTAACATAGCGAGAGAGGGGGAGAGGCAGAGAGGAGCAGCGAGCTGCTATTTAATTTAACTTTAATCAGCAAGTAACTTTGAGCAGTAAGTAACTCTGATCAGTAAGTATCAATGAACATTAAGTAACTCTGAACAGTAAGTATCTATGATCAGGACTTAACTATGATCAGTAATTATCTATGACTAGTAAGTATGTATGATCAGTTACTAACTTTGAACACTAATAAACAATGACTTGCAACTTTTGTAACAACACATTTCTGAGACCTGGCCGGCAGAAGTCACTTCGTTCCGGGGATGTTAGAACTAGTTGGGAATCATAAGTACTCATGTGTGAGATTTGTTTAGGAACAAATTTAAGCTATTTGAAATAAACTATGGACTAATTCTTTTAAATAGTTTTACTAATATTTAAGTCGGAGCATGGCAAATCGGAGGACTATATATACATATATATATATATATGCCATAGGACCGATCGGAAAATGTTAAAGAAAAAACATAATAACTTCTCTAGTTTTCAACAGATTTTGATCAAATTTTATATATATATAGTTTGAATTAAATTAATTTTTTTAATATATTTTAAAAAGATTTCCCCCAAATACTTACATTCAGATCGTGCGCCGTATCATTAATACCCGCTGCCGCTGCATCGAAACTCTGCAATTCGGCGCTCAGATCACTTTCACTAAACTTTAGCTGCGTTTGGCTGCTCATCAGCGAGTTGAGGAGCTGCTCCTGCTGCTGCTGCTGGCTATCTGCTGCTCCTCCTCCTCCGCTTGACATGCTGCCTCCCATGCGATTGGGCGTGCCGGGTGTCTGTGGCGAATTGTGGCCTGTGCTGCTGCTATTGTTGTTGTTATTATTATTATTATTGCTGCCACCATTGACGCTGCCATTGCTGCTGCCGTTGGCATTGGGCGTGCCCCACTGATGGGTTCATTGTGGGAGCTACTGACACTGGGCGGTCCGCCGGGTGTCATTGGATGGCTGGCTGCACCAGGAGTGTGCGGCGTGTGGGGCATCTAATGGGAAAAACAAAAAGTATAATCATTAGTTTCTCTCTCTGAAGTAAAACTTTTCTTAAACTCTTACCTGATCGCTCAGCGACTTCTCCATGGCATTCAGTTGATCCAGGGAATTGACGCCGCCATCGCTGCCGGCCAAGCCACCGCTGCCATCACTGTGGTTGCCACTAAAGCCATCATAGCTGCTGCGATTGCCACTGTAATTACATCATAAATATAAATAAAATATTTACAAAATAAAGCCTCTAATTAAGGACACTCACTGCTGGCTATTGTTGCCACCGTTGCCCATCATATTGCCACTGGCAATGGAGTTCATGTCGTGCATGTTGTAGGGACTCATCGCCTGCGCACTGTCCCAGGTGGGCAGCTGCGTGGAGCCCGGCGACATGACCTCCGACTTGGCAATATCATCGCACAGTTCCTGCTTAATGCTGGGCGGCATACCGGAGCTGGGTCCTCCGCTTCCGTTGGCATTTGGATTGCTGCCGCTGGGATTGCTGCTAGGAACATTCGAGGGTGGCGGTGCATTTGGCATGCCGCCATTATGCTGCAACGCTCGCCAATTGGCCGAGGAATCGATGATCACCTCATCCACATCCGAGTTGCTCAGCGTATTGAGTATGGCCCAGATATACTGATCGATCTCCAGCGTATCTGTAATGGCCGACTTGCTGCACTCGGGACACCGCCACGAGCCGCGCTCGCTGTTGATCATCAGATATGCCTCCAGGTCGAAGCACTGGACGTGCTTGCACTCATGTCCCCTGGCCGGTAGTCGTATTCGAGACTTGGTGATGGGGCACTTCAATGAGATCTTGGCGCACTGTTGCCCCCCGTTTTGCTGGTTCGCCGCATCCGATCCCGGTGTCTGTCCCTCACTGGGCAAGCTCAGGTTGCGTTTAATCTTCTGCACGCTGTGCTCCAGCGGCAACAGATTACGCTTGTGCAACGTCTGCAGCACCTGGCGCACCGATGGTCGATGGACTAGCTGCAGCACGAACAGGTGTGACTGTTGGTTGGATAGTACAAAACATTTAATTAATAAATAATTCATTTAGATTGATATTTAATAGCTACTTACACAACAGCAGGAACTGGCGGTCAGCTGAAGCGTATTCCTTCCCGGCTGGCAAACGGCCTTCAAGTAAAGCGGACGCAGGGCGGTACTATTCTTCTCGGACCGCTCGATGTTCAGGGAGTGGCATTCGCGGAGACGGTGACCGTATGCGGCCAGTTGGTGTTCATCTGCCGGTCATCCTGGTGGAAGCACTTCAGCTGCAGCTCCAAATCGGTTCTACAAATTACAAAATCAAATAAGGATAAGTGCCAGTGCTTAGATTAAAGGTTATCCTTAAGGACCTACCGGCACATGAGCGTGTTGTAGACATTCTGCTTGAGATGGAACACATGATTGCTGACCGAGAGATTGTGCAGCAGGCGGAACGGAGCCAGGATGATGCCGTCGCGCACCGGGAATGTCAGTCTCATTTCTTCGCCTGCAAAGGAAAAGAGGAAAAATTAATTAGAATTTTGAATAAATATATTAAATACGACTTCAACTTACTGTTGTCCATGGGTGGCTTAATGTCCGGATTGGGGCTGACATAGGGCACACTGCAGGCGGGTGTCAGCGGTGGCGTCGGATTGCCAGGAACTGGACTGTGCTGATAGTTTTGCTGGAAACTACAAACCAAAAAAACAATTAGTTATAATTCCCCTCAAAATCCATAAGATAACCGAAACTCACCCTTGATTCTGGTAGGGATTGCCGGTGGTGGCCACACCGCCCGGACCCGCCGGGCACATGCCACCTCCCTGCTGCATGCCAGCACCCTGACCTCCGCTGCCCGGATAGAACTGACCCTGGTGGGAACCAGGTCCGCCGGCACCGCCGTATCCCACACCGGGCATACCGCCACCTCCGCCGGATGCCTGAGGCATAAAGCGCTGCTGGCTCATGCAGCCAGCGGGACCGGGACCCATGCCACCGCCTGTCATGCCACCGGGACCCATGGGTCCCATGACGGGACCACCATTTGGACCCATTCCATTGCCGGCCGACATGCGGCCATAGCCGCCATTGCCGGCGCCCATGGGTCCGCCGCGTCCGCCATAACCGTTGCCAGCTCCACCCGCCTGCATGGGCAGGGGGACACCGCCACCGGCTCCAGGATGCATCTGCTGATTGCCATACATTTGCGCCTGCTGCTGCTGCTGCATGGGATTGCCCGGATACATGCCACCCACGCCCACGCCCACGCCACCTGCTCCGCCCGCTGCCGCCGCTGCTGCCCGCTTCTGGGCCATGTGCATCTGCGGATGCGGATACGGAGCCATGCGACGTTGCTGCTGCTGTTGCTGCTGCTGCTGCTGCTGTTGCTGGGCTGTGAGCGAGGGAGGTGCCTGCTGTGGATAGCCACCATTGGCCATGCCCTGCATCTTGGCCATGGGATTCATGGCGCCCATCTGCTGCTGTGCCGCCTGCTGTTGCATGGGATTCATGCCCATGCCATTGGAGGCACCAACACCGGGTCCCATTGACATGTTTTGCATTTGATTCATGGGCGTCATCTGCAAGGAGGGAAATTTTTGAGTTTAAGATAAGGTTTAAAGTACATATATTCATCAGAGGGAATCCCCATGGTAATTCCATATTTTGAGTATTTTTTAGAGCTTGTACGTTGATCAAACTTTACTAAATGAGCTCTCAGCTTGTACTGAAATTGCGCACTTAAAAAGTTTAAACTTTTGTTGAATGAATTTTGGGTAAATACAAATAAATCTAGGAAATTATCAGCTCAATAATTATCTGGAAACATATTGTAGTCTAAATTCTTTGAATCTTGAATACTACCAATACATTCTCCCATAAAAATTCCCAGAAAAATCGAGATCTCAAACAGAGATAATTAGAATAAGTTGATATTCCAGAAAGAAACTTTCTTTCCAGTTCCCTAGTCAGGAAATTTCCAGGGAATAAGTTAAGCTTGGCAGATGATGCCATACTTCATTTAAAAAAATAAAGGAATCAATTAAGCGTAAAACTTTTTAAATATTGAGCTTGAGCGGATTACTGTTGGCATTCACAAATTTGTCATTTCTGGAGACTTCTGTTTTTTTTGCGATTTTGCGAGTGATTCGATAATGGGGCCAAAACAGGCGGCGTTCTCAAGGCGAAATCTGTTTATGGCCGCAAATGAAGTGTCAACAGCTGGCCATATATAAGCCACGAGTGTGTGTGTGAAGTCATCCAACCATCCCGTTAAGCCATTATCCCTACTTACTTGATGATGCCTCTGGGGTCCGATGTTGCCGCCACCCCCATAGCCCATGCCCATGCCTTGGCCAGCACTATAGCCACCTTGGCCGGAACCGCCATTCATGTACTGAGCATTCATGTTGCCCATCATGCCGCTATTGGGGCCAGGATGCATGCCGCCACCCATCTGCAACATAGGATAAGGATAAAGTTAATCATTATGCATAGATATTCATGATTAAATTCACGCAAAGATCTTCTGAGATCGTTTAGCATTATATTCTTATATGTAGAGGAATCCTCACCTGACTGTAACCACCCATGGCATCCATGCTGGACATGTGTGACTGCTGCTGCTGGTGGTGCTGTTGCTGTTGGTGGTGTTGCTGCTGATGCTGCTGCTGCTGCTGGTGATGCTGCTGACTGGCAGCCACCATGCCCGGATATCCCTGACCGTTGGTGCTGCCGCCGTTAAGGCCGCCAAGCGATGAGCTTGATGTGGAGCTACCGGCTGTAAATTCCGAATTGGGTCCAAAGGTATTGTTTAGGCTGCGCAGGCTGTCGCCGCCGACAAGGTCATTGCCCAGCATAAAGTTAGCACCACCGCCTCCTGTCCTTTGCTGCTGCTGTTGCTGCTGCTGCTGCTGCTGTTGGTAGGCCAGGAAATTGTCACGCTGATGTTGCTGCTGGTATTGATGTTGCTGCTGCTGCTGCTGATTGTAGTACTGCTGTTGCTGCAACTGTTGCTGCTGCTGCTGCTGCTGTTGCTGCTGCTGTGGATCAACGCCGGCTGTTGTGGCACCTGGCGGTGAGATTTGGCCCCCTGTGGCTGGCGCCCTTGAGGAGCCCGCCTGCTGGTTCATTTCATCATTTTTCCTGCAAGAGTCACAACAGAGACAACAATTTGGTTTAGTTAGCTTTAATTTGGTGATTATAAAGCAAGGTTTTATTATATAAATGGGTATAACCCTTTCTGTCGCTAAGTAAAACATGTTGTCCCTATTTCATAGGCCCAATTTGAGCAGAAAAAAAGTGTTGGAAACCAAAAGGGCAACAACCAGAAAAGTGAGAATTTATAAATAAATTTTGATGATAAAAATGTGACAAATGAAGCAAATATAATTAGGAGTAAGCTACTTAGAAATATAATTATATACTACTTTTATTCTTAATAATTATAATGAATTTGATTTCATTTCTCCATCTCTTTTATCAATTTTCTTAATAATTTAACCTAGCTTTGCTTTGTTTCTATCCGCAAAATAGTTTTGAGTACAATGTCCTAATTTTTCGATGAATTTTGTTTAAATTCAACTGATAATCATTGCTCTTTTTTTGCGATTTTCCAAGAGTTTTTTGTTTTACCAAGAATTTAATTCTATTTCCGTTGGCAGCTGTTCTTTTGTTTTTTATTGTTGTTTTCCTTTCTTATCTTGTGCGACGGTTAGTCACATCACATCACAGAACTGAGAGTTGATTCTGATTCCAAGTTGGTTTCTGCCCGCTTGGAATCATTGGAATTATTTGACGACGACCTTCTCCATCGATGATGATGTCAGCCGATGGTGATGGTGGTGAGGCTTATGTTCGTGATTTTAACCCAATAGTATCCCTGGAACACCCGCTTCTAACACCCCCTGCGCCAAGTGTGCACCACCCAACCCCATATCTCCATCATCGTCATTGTCAACGTCATTCATTGTTGTTGTTGGTGTTGTTGTTGGTGTTGGTGTTGCTTTTGCTGTGGCAATTGCAATTGCATTTTCCATTTTCCATCTTCTCCATTGCTTATATGTAAGTATTTCCCATTGCACTTGTTCGCTGCTGCTCATTGCTGGCGACTCTTTGCCCCTCGATTTGCTGTGACATTTAAGACCGAAAATGTCAAATGGGCTCAGGGCTTAGGTTTTGTTTCTTCTCAATTTTTTTTTTCGTACTCCCCACCCCCTTTAGTACTCTTGAATCCATTGAAATTGTTTTCGCATTCGCTTTGATGGCGCGACTTTTAAGGTAAAAATAATTAAGCATATTTGCCAGGCAGACAATAAACAATATGAAGCATATATGAGCGTGAAACGCAGTGCGAATGCGAAGTAGAAAGACACATCAAATCGGAATATCGGATAGTCGAAAATGCAAATACTCTAGCAAAAATAGATTAAATACTTTATATTTATAATTTAAAATATTTAATTTTAATTTTGTTGAATGATTTGCACTTGAAATATTTAATATTCAATGATTTTAAAGCTCAAATCAAATACAATCTACATTTGTAATATGACAACATGGCGTATACGTAATATATTTTATATAGAACTTTTAGCATGAAACATTCGGTATTTAATATATTTTAAAATATATTTTTTTATATATTTAAATAATGTAATGTATTAAAAAAACCTATATAAGTTTCCTATGTTTTTAATATTGTCAACAGTGCGTATACGTAATTCCCCTCACATTTATCATAGAAAATATGCCATAAATTCTTTTCTTCCAATTAAAATACAACCAAAGTTTTAAATAAATCTTGTTTCTTAATATTTTAACCCCTTTTTAAGGGTAAAATCCTAACCGTAACATCAACAAAAAATCGCACATTAAATATATAAAGTAACACGCTCACAATAATTGCGCATCTACAAAAGCGGCTCAACGCAAACACACACACACACACACTCTCGGCACAACACAAAAGCAAATAAAGTTGGAAACAAGAAACAAACGAAAAAAACGAGGAAAAACATAAATAAATACAAAAAAATTATAAAGAACAACAAAAAAACGTAACAAAACGTAACAAAAGCAACAACAATTGCAGCAGTGAACGAAATGCAAATAAATGGCACACTAAGCGATTGGCTGATAATCGCATGACGAAAAGCCCGAGCCGAGCCGGCAAAGTCTACAAAGATCGCTGTAGAATCGAGCGAGGAGAATTGCCAGTGGCGGTGGGGGTGGGGTGGGGTGCGGTGCGGGGGAAGATTCATGGTCGATGGTGGCACAAGGAGGGGGCGGGAGAGGTAGCAAAGTGAACCTGTGATTGCCGCGAGACTGTGACGATAAATTAGCATCGAGCCACTGGCTAATGCCAACTGGGGAGAGGAGAGAAGGGGAGAGCAAGGGAAATGGAGAGTAAGGGGAGCAGAGAGTAGGAGGGGTGGAGAGTAGGGAGAGTTAAGAGCAGATGGTGGAGAGTATGGGGATTTGAGAGCAGAAAGTGGGGAAGTGGGGGGCGGAGTGGAGAGTAGAGAATGGAGGTAAGCAGAGCAAAGCGGGTCATTAGGTCGAATGGGAGAGGGAGAGGGAGGGGGAGAGTAGGAGATATTGAGATAGAAAAAGATGGAATATGAACATGGCATGCTACAGTGATCACTCGATAGGTGGAGAGTTAAAGAGAATCAAAGAAAAGAGAATTTAAGAATTATAGAATTTTAATACTGCCACAAAACAGATAAGTTTTTAACAATTTTAAAACAGAATATTGAATTTAAGAATCTAATTTTCCTATAAATCAAAGTCATCCTATATTCTTCAGGTAATTCTTTAAGAGAGATCCCTGTTTAGAGATACCATTCCAGGTGGCCTTATGTTTTATCATCAAGAATATGCACTTAGAAACCGCGTAGTGACCTTCGCAGAGTTGGATGATAAAAAAAATCACCAGATGTGTGGGAAGTTATAGAAACCAAGATAGAATACACGAAAAAAAAAACTGTACGAAGGAAGTCAAGATATGGTTAAAGATAACCAGGAAAGACGTAACCAAAACAATTTGAATAATTACGGGGAATCGAGAGCAGATATATATGTATATACAACCAAGTTGTGCCCTTGTCCATTATGTGACTTGCACTGCAAGAAAAACAGTACAGGGAAAAGGGGTTCGAAATACAAGCGACGATCTCTGATGACGCCGCATTTTGCTTTTGTTTCTCGAGGCGAGTTCTCGTTTGTAGCTTGTTGCCGCCTTTTGTACTTTGATTAGATATAAATTTCTTCATTGATTAGATAAAAATAAAGCAAAACAGGTAACTCGTCAGGTGGAGAGATAGAGGGAGATAGCACACGAGAGAGAGAGGGAGAGAGGGAGAGGTAGAAGTGCGAGCAAAGTTTAGAACCACTAAAAAAAATCAGTTCAGAGGCCAGTCGATACACGTGCTCAAAGATATAGCTTCATATCGAAATCAGGGCACGATCTCTGGCCCCCGATATTATTACCCCCACAACCTGCTCCTCTATTGCTACCTTTTTGTATTTTTTTTCTGCTTGTGTAATTGTAAATTGTGCGCACTTTGATTTGCTGTGGTAATAAAAATTATTTCTCATTTGGCACACGAAATGATTTCCGTATGTCAACCGTACAGAGGCGGTGTCTAAAGGTTTTTATCAAGGGGTAGTCATTTTTTTCTCTAAATTTCTCTTTAGTTATTTTTTAATGACTTATTTCCCTTATTTTATTGGAGTACATTTTTTGCAATTTATGTTCATTGTTTGGCTAGTTTTTTCCAATATGAATTATGGGTCTGAGACAGCAATGCGGCACTCGATTTGGTTTTGGGGTATATATCCTTTTCGGAGGACATGTATCTGTCTGCTGCCTAGTCTTTATTATGCTTTATAAAAAATCTAACTTTTTTTCTGTATTTTCTCCTCCTCTACTTCTATTTTTATTGTTGTTTGCGTGTGTTTTATTTAATTTTTTTTTGCAGCTCTGCTTTGCCTTTTCTTCTTGTTTTTTATTTGTAATTTTTTATAGTAGACGACAGTTGGCGTCATGTAACAAAACAAGTATATAGAGAAAATGTATGTGTGTGTTTTTTAGAGGCCATGAAAAATTGTGAGACACGTGCGTGGAGCCAATGATAGAACAAAAATGTTTGAAATAAGTTATTTTTTCTGAGAAAGGTAGAGGGAGGTTTAAATTATATTTGCAGAGGGAAAAATAATAATAATAATAGAAGAGGAGTAAATATATATATATAAAAAGAATTTATATTTGTGGGAAAAAATATATGTAGAATATCTGAGAGGTCTTTGCTATATCAATAAGCATTTAATGATTGGATTTTTGTAATTTTAGGTGAGATACAAGTTTACTATTTCAATATTCAAATTTAATGATTTTATCTATATCTAAATAATATCTTTTTAATCCCATTTTCTCACTGTGTACTATCCCTTTTTGCAAAAGCAATAACTTATCAACAATTTTTGATTTGCTCTCTTTGCCATTTCTATACATTCTATCCTCCTGCCTTTTCTGCCTCGTTTTTGGGCTCATCATTCACTCAAAAAAAAAAACAAAAAAAACTCCTGGCCGCCCCATATCCTGTCATATCCTTTATTTTCCCCTTATTGTTTCGCTGCTGCTGCCACTGCTCCTGCTACTGCACTCCCAACCCCCCTTCGCATCACTGAAATGCGTTTGACAGTTGTTTTTCAAGGGTGTTTGAAGGCAACGAAACCACCCCCTACTCCTCCATGGGCTGCACTTTTCGCATATAAAAATTTCTTTCACTCTTTCCAGTACCAATTTTGAGTTGTCAGTTGTCGTGTGTCTGTATTTTTTTCTCCTCTGCTGCCCTGCTCCCCCCTTGGATTCATTTTTTCCATATTGTGTCGGGTAGGTTGCTATTGCTTCTCCTTTTTTTTAGAATTTTTTCCCCGACTGAAAACGGATGGTAATAATTTTTTGCGTTTAGTTTTTTGTCAGGACTTTGTATGCCATTCGAATTTTGACGGCGCCTGCTGGTATGCAACGCTTTTTGTCGCCTCGAGCTCGTGTGCGCGAAAATTCTTTTGGCAAACTTTTAGCTCCTCTCTGGCCTCCCTGCCTCCCACTTTGATTGAATTTCCCGCTGCTGAATTTT